CTGAGCTGGAGGTCTCTGGTTGCAGAGGCCTCTGCCATTAGTTGGAATGTGAGAACGCGCATTTGGGGGCAGAGGAGGAGGAACGGAACTGCTGTGTGTGTGCATGTGCATCTGTGTGCGTGCTCGGGCTCAGTGGGAGTGTCCCGTGTGTCTCTGTGTGCGTGTGTGGCCCTGTCCCGGGCGGCTCCAGGCCGGGCCACATAAACTTCACACCCCTGCAGGCGGGCCCCGGCAGCCCCGCAGTGGCCACGTCAGGCAATGGGAAGCAGATGGGCCCGGATGGAGGCCATATGGGGCTGGGGGTGGGCGCATTCCTCCCTCCCAGGGCCGCCAGGAAGCCCCCTGCCTGACGGCCCCCCATCAAGGGGAGCTGGAACTGACACTGTAACAAATGTCCCGCAGCCAGCGTGGAGCCAGCGCGGAGCAGCAGGGAGGCGGCCTCGGCCTCATGGGGGTGTGTGACTTGTGGCTGTGTGTCTGTGTGTGTGTGTGTTCTGTGGCTGTCACGTGACCGTGTGTCTGCGTGTGGCAGTGTGTGAATGACAGTGTGCACCTGTGTGTAGGAATGTCCAGGAGGTGCTGCCCGGGTGGGTGGGTGTTGCCCTGAGGAGCCATAGCCAACCCCAGGGCTGTGCAGCCTTGGGCACTGCATGCACCACCCACGGTGGGCCTCAGTTTCCCCAGCAGAGTCACAATATGGTGGCTGTTCGGGACATAATGCTGAGAAGTGGAGCCCTAGCTCAGAAAGTGGGGCACGTAACCAAGCTCAGGGACACAGGCCTGGAGTCCCAGCTACTGCAGCAGCAGAGGCAGGAGGCTCGCAAGTTGCAGCCAGCCCGGGTGACTCAGTAAGAATGAAAAGGCCTGCTTGGGCTCGGTGCTTGCTTAGCATATCTGAGGCCCTGGGTTCCAACCTCAGGGACACACACACACACACACACACTCCTCAAAGGCAGTCTCTGAGCCGCCTGGGCTCAGAACGCTGCCCTGCCACTTGCTGACTGTGACAACTGCTGAGTCACTTGTCTCTGCCTCAGTTTCCTCTCTGGAGAGTGGAGAGGCTGGCAGGAGGCCCAGCGCAGTGAGCACACAGCTGCTGGCGCCCAGGCTCAGAGGGGCTCAGAAGGGCCGCGCACAGCACACAGCCTGGGAGGGTGGCGACTCAGGGCTTCATCAGGGTCACCCAGGAGGAAGGGGCGGAGCCGGCCTGCCTGGCCTGGAGAGCTGCCGGCTGCTGCTGATCACTCTGATGACGGCAGAGCTGGGCCCCTGTCCCGGGTCATGCAGGCCGCTGATGGGTGAGGGCCCAGCTCCTCCATGCTGCCCGGGCCCCTTTGGTGGAGCAGGCAGTGCCAGGACCGGACCTGGCTCCTCTTTCCCTGCTGGGTGTCCTTGGGGAAATGCCTGGACCTTTCCGAGCCTTAGGCGGCCACCCCTCCTCCCAGAGGTGTCAGGGGACAGGGTCAGTGATCAGGAATGGAGGCCACTGTCCTTGCAATGAGTGTCCTGTAACCATGTCCATGATTTCCCTCTCCTGGAGGGATGAGAGAGGGGTGAGAGTAGAGGGCCAGGGCTGTGGTAACCTTGGTGTAGTCAGCTCACTTACCGGCTTTTTTCTGTTCTCCAAGTAACCTCATCACGTAGCTTTTTCTGGAGGCTTAATGGGATCGTGTCAATAAAGTGGCACATAGTAGGTGCTCAGTAAAAGCTGTCAGTCTTCTCTCATATTCTTGTCCCTTGGGAGCCCCTGTAGGGGTCGGCAGTTATTGGCCCCTATAGGCACCCCCTCTCCTTTCCTTGTGCCTCCTGGGCTTCGGGTGGGGCCAACACCATCCTTAAGGGTGGGACAGGTGGCCCAGGACTGACCAGTCAGAACGGTGCATCCTTGCGACCGATGAGAGCCAGGGTTGGGATTTTTCCTTGGACCCAGGAGGAAGGAGGCTCCCTCTTTCCCTGAGGGTTGCTAAGTTGGTGGGGGTGGGTGCCTGGGTGTGGGGTTCATCTTGCCTTGATGAGAGAGAAGCCAGCAAAGATGGAGTGAAAACCAGTCGTGGTACTGAGATTCGTATACCTAGATGCGGCCATGCCTGGTGTGTAACTGGTCCCTGCTGTGCAGGTGAGAGACAGAGCCAGTCAAGGCCCCAGAGGCAGGGAGAGAGCTGGGATTTGAACCCGGGCTGACTGGCGCCAGTGGCCTCAGCCTCCAGGCCCTCAAGAGCCCTTTGGTGTAAATCCCTCCAGTCTGGAATCCTCCTCACCCAGCCTGGCTTTTGAGCTCAGCTATTTCAGAGCCTCCCAGGGGAGAGCATTTCCTGCCTCTGGCGGAAAAATCGGGGGAGAAAATGAGAGCTCTGCGGTCTGGCGCTGAGTGCAGTTTGGGCAAGCTTCGGACAGATGAGAATTCCTTCCTTCTTTCCTTCTCTTCCTCCTCCTCCCGTTCTCTTTGTGTCCTTCCCTCCCTCCCTCCCCTTAGTTCTCTTTCCTTTCCTCCCCTGCTTTCTTCCGAAGCTCCTTCCACGTTCTCCTTCCTGCCTGAAATAAAGCAGAGCCCCGTCCAGCCCGCCTGGATGACCTGCACCTCAGCTCTGCTCCAGGCTGCCACGGCGGTCACCAGCGCCACCTATGAAGATGCAGAACAAGAGCAAGGCAAGGTGGTGCATGCCAGGACTCCCAGCGGCACTGCAGCCTGAGGCAGGAGGGTCACGAGTTCAAAGCCAACCTGGGCAATTTAGAGATAGAACCCGGTCTCGTGGTGGCACATGCCAGTAATCCTGGCATTTGGGAGGCTGAAGCAGGAGGATTGCTGTGATTTCAAGGCCAGCCTGGGCCACGTAATGAGTTCAAGGTCAGGCTGAACTATATAGTAAGAACTTGTCTTAAAAAAAAAAAAAAAACTCAAAAAATAAACAATTCTCTGACCAGGCCCTGCACTAACGTTTGTGCACCGGGGGTCAGGACAGGGGAGACCCCCAGTGGACTGTTGGATCCTGCAGGGTGTCGAGAGCCTCGAAGTTGTCTGACGGTTTTCAGATGCTGTCACTGAAAACCACATGCAGCAAATGTATACAAAATAGAAATTGATTCAGCTCAGAGTTTCAGAGGCTGAGAGGCCCAAGATTAAGGGGTAGCATCTGGCCAGAGCCTCTGTGCCATGGGGACGAGGCACAGGGCATTGCATGGCACAGGGGCACCAGACAAGGGAGAAGAACACTGGCTTTTTGGCAGAACCACTCTCAGGGTGACCCATTATACACTAAGTAGCAGATAACTGGGCAGATAGAGCCATCCACTCACAAGGGCAAAGTCTGCCTCGCTTAGTCACCTCTATTTTTTTTGGCTCTGGGGTTGGATCCCACGGTCTCACACATGCTGAGCATGTGCTCTACCACTCAGTTACATCCTCCAGCCCCTTTTTAAAAAAAATGTTTTGTTTTTGAGACAGGATCTCATGAAGTTGCCCAGACTGATCTAAAATTTGCAATGTTCCTGCCTCAGCCTCCCAAGAAGCTGGGATTACAGGTGTGCACCACCATGCCGGCTCCAATCAGCCACTTCTTCAAGGTCCCACCTGGTCCTTCCTCTGAAGTACTTCACCGTGGGCATTAGTGTCAACACGGAAGTCACAGCCAAGCCGGATGTGTCTAGGTGGGGTTGATGAGCTGCACCCCCTGAGCTGGGAGGGACTGAGTGGAGAGCCCTGAAGGAGGCTCCTCTCATCTTGGAGACTTAGATGCAATTGCAACTCAGGTGGCTTTTCACCCTGCGCAGCCCCACTGAGCTCATATCATTCATCCAGGAAACGGAGAGAAAAAGAAATGCACAGCCTGTGCAGTCCCAGCCACCAGGATGCTGAGGCAGGAGGATCTCAAGTTCAGGCCAGTCTGGGCAATGTAGGGAAACCGCGTCTCAAAATTAAAAAGGGGCAGGAATGGCGGTGCGCAGCTGTAATCCCAGTACCGGGGAGGCTGAGGCAGGAAGATCACTGTGAGTTCAAGGCCAGCCTGGGCTACATAGTGAGTTCAAAGCCAGCCTGAGCTATATAGCAAGACCCTGTCTCCAAAAAACAGAAACAAAACTAAAATTAAAATTGAAAAGGGAGGATGGGGATGTAGCTCACTTGTAGAGCACGTGCTTGCATAAGACCCTGGGTTCCGTCCCCAGTACCTCAGAAAAGAGAAAAACCTACACACGGATGTCTAACAGGCTCTGTGCTCAGCCCTCTCGGTTGAGAAAGGCACTGGGTCCTTGTCGCCCTCTAAGGCGGGTTCAGTTATTGTTGTCGATTTCCCAAAAAGTGTTACTGAGGTTCAGGGAGGTCATTGTCACACGGCTGGTAGGCTGCATGTTGTTTTGTTTCATTCACTGCTGTGCCCCAGGTGGCCAGGTCAGACAGGTTGCGTTTGTTTGAGACAATGTCTCACTGTGTAGTTCAGGCTGCCCTTGAACTCAGGATGATCCTCTGATTTTTGCTTTCTGGTTTTTTTGGTACCAGGGATCCAACTCAGGACCTTCCGCTTGCAAGGCAGGCAGGCGGCACCTCTGAGCTACACCCCCAGTCCTTGCTGAGATCTTTTTAAACATTCACTGTCGGTTCTCCTAATAGCCAGTAAAAAGGAAGAGACCCAGAGGTCTGCCCCCGCAGAGCCTCTGTAAATGTTTGTTGAGTGACTGAATGAAATGGAACACTCAGTTCGTGCACTCTTGTCAGCATCGTGTGTCTGGCGGAAGCCCCGGTCTGCCACCCACCGTCTGCTGGCTCGGAGCTGTGGGTTTCCACATCTGGCACTGCCAGGAGCAGGCCGCGGGGGAAGCAGTTCCCGGCTGTGAAGCCAGGGACAGGCTGGGGGCTGCCCGGCAGCAACTTCCTTCTGAGCGATTGCACTTGGGCTCCGGTCCGGCACCGCTGGCCGAGCTGGAGTGTGGCCCGCTGGGCTCTCAGCCCGGCGCAAGCAGCAGCCTCCACGGGCGCCAGTGCAGCCCGAGCGGCCTTGCCTCCCTCTCAGGGGCTCGGTTTCTTCCCAGCAGCTCCAGCTTCCTGCAGAGCTGGGCGATGTTGCCAATGCACGGAGGACGAAGCTGCCCGGAACCGCAGGCCGCGCCGGGGCCTTGGGTGAGTCACTTCCCTCCCCTGTGGGCAGCAGCCCCTGAGCGCTCGGAGCCGGGAAGGGCCCAGAAGTGAGGAGACGGTGGCTACCGTACAGGAGGCCTCAGTCACTCTTTCGCTTACCGTGTGTTTTTTTTTGGTAATGTGTTTGCCCTGCGTGATAAATGCATTCTGTCTGTCTGTCTGTCTGTCTTCCTTTCATTTATTTATTTTGCAGTGCTAGAGATTGAACTCAGGGCCTTTGCATTGAGCTACAGTCACAGCCCCCTAAAAATTTTTTTTAAACTTGTTTTTTTAATTCTTGAAACGAGGCGTCACTCACTAAGTTGCTCAGTTCTCCAGGCTCTGCCTCAGCCTCCCGGATGCTGGGATTCCAGGTGGGCAGCGCCACGCCTGGCTCTTTTAGCTGTTTCTCCATCCACGCGGTGCGCGTTGTTGAGCATTTACTGTGCACCAGACTGGGACTGCCAGGGTCAGCAAAAGTAGGGCCAATAACAACAGCTCCCAGGTAGATCTGAATTTCAGGTAAACAACAAATACTCTTTAGTGCAAATAAGTCCCAGGGACTGTTAGCGTGATCCGTCCCACTCGCTTTGCTCCGGGCCTTGGGAATTTCAGAGGGGCAATCACCCGCCCACCCCGCCTTGGCTGGGGTCCTGGCTCAGGGCTGGGGCCTGGGTCGCCAGAGCCTCCAGGACTTGAGTCTGCTGGCATTTCCTACCCATTTCCGGCAAGCAGGTTCAGGAATACAGGGCCTCCACAGCTGCCTGGCTTTCCCTCTGCCCCAGCGCTCACCTGCTGGGGAAAGTCCCCGTGGTCATCAGGTTAGAGGCTGGCACAGCCAACACGTGGCCAGGGCGAGCGGCATCCGTCAGCCGTGGGCGGAGGGGATGCAAACTGGAGGGAGACAGAGGCGGCCAGGCTGCCTCAGCCACGTAGCTTCCTGCCTGTCCTGAGCTCCTGTCAAGAAGCAGACGGTGGGCCAGGGATTTAGCTCAGCAGTTCTGCTGCCTGCCTTGCAAGCGCAAGGTCCTGAGTTCGGTCCCAGGTACAAAAAAAAAGAAAGAAGAAGAAGCAGACAGCCTGACGTGGTGACGCCTGTAATCCCAGCCCTCGGGAGGCTGAGGCAGGAGGATCGCCATGAGTTCGAGACCAGCCTGGGCTACATAGTGAGTTCCAGGTCAGTCTCAACTATGTAGTGAGACCCTGTCTCAAAAAACAAAAAAAAGAGAAACAAACAAAAAAAACCCGATTTTGCTGCTCTGTTCTCAACTCCTCGATATTTCTCAGACACCTACTGTGTGCCGGGCACTGTACTGCTCTAGCGTGGGCCTGTGGGACACAGGTGGATGAAGAGCCTGGCTCTTGTGGACCTGATGTCTACCGGGAATGACACACAACAGGCATGTGGGATGATAATTTTGTGGGAAAAATACTGAGATGGGCTCCCTGAGATGTTTGAGCAGAGTGAAGGGATGAGGAGGAACCAGTCCTAGGGGACTGGTGGAGAAAATGCTCCTGGCAATGAGTGCAAAGGTCCTGGGGCAGGGCAAGCAGACACCTGTTGGTGAAAGAGACGCTAGGACAAGGGCTGGGGAGCTGAGGCCGGCGCATCACACAGGGCCACTCGGCCGAGGAGAGGGCCCCCTGGCTCCTCCCTGGCTTCCCGTGGAGCCTGTGTCACCGCCTCTCAGAGCCTTCCCGGTGACCCTGGTAAGTGGCTGGGCTTCACCTCTCAGAGCTCTGGCTAAGCCACCGCCCTTCCCTCCCGGCTATCACCGCAGGCTCCCAAGGCCCCGTCCACTCCCACGAGAACACAAAGGTGGCTGCCGAGGAGCGGAGGCTTTGGGGACCACAGCTCTGAGGCTGAAACTGCTCGCAGGCCTGGGACCCAAGCCCTGAGGCCACAGGACTCCACCCCGGCCCGTTCCAGGGGCTGCTCCCTGTGTGCCCGGACACGCACTGTGGGAAAACACACGGACAGCGCCCCCTTCAGCCAGTTCAGAGAGCGGTGCTCAGTGTTTCGCAGCCATCAGGGCTGTCTAGTTCCAAACACTTCCTTCCCTCCGTGAGGATCCGGTCCCCCTACTCCACCCCTGACCCGGCAGCCACTTCCCTCACTGAGCATCTGCCTCTCTACGAGTTTTGGAACGTATGCAGCATTTTGGTGCCTGGCTTTCGTTTGCTTGTTGAGTCGGCGTCTAAGTTGCCAGTGGCCTCAAACTCAAAATCCTTCTGCCTCAGCCTGCGTAGCTGGGATTACAGGCATGTACCATCATGCCTGCCTGCCCGTATTTTTGTTTTGTTTTGTTTCTTAATTGCTGGAAAATATGCTGTTTTAGCTGGGCGTGGCCTCACATGCTTCTCATCCCAGAATTCTGGGAGGCTGAGACAGGAGGATCACAAATTCAAGTCCAGCCTTGGCAACTAAGCGACTTTAGCAAGACCTTGTCTCAGAATAAAAACTAACTGACTAAATAAAGGGTGCCCAGAAGTGCCCTGTGCCTGATCTCAAGCCCTTCCCTGGGAGTGCGCAGGGCTGGGGGCTGCAGGGGCACTAAGATCTTGAGCGGGATCTGCAGTTTGGGGTCCCCTCCACCTGGGGTACGTGGGAAAGTGGAGACTCCGCCCCACCCAGCCTGCTGTGTTGGACTTCCAGCCTGGCCCGCCACGGCCGGGCCCCGGGGTGTGGGCTCTCCTGGGTGATGAGCGTCTGCCTCCCTGTGCCTCCGTCTCCCCACTGGAGGTGGAGCTGCTCCTGCCGTGGTGGGGAGGCCACCAGGGAAGTGCACTGTGTGACGGCGAGTCAGGCCGGAGGTCAGACGTGAGGCCGAGGCTGGCCCAGGCCCAGCTGCCGGGATGTGCAGGGGAGGGAGCCTGAGGCAGAGCCTGAGTCACGCTTTCCGGTCCAGGCAGGAAAGGGAGGTGGGGCGGTGGGGGAGGCTGGGGCCTCCTGGAGAACAGGGACCACTCTTGTATTTTGTTGGGCAGAATGGACAGAAAACTACCTGTCGGATGAGAAGGGTCCTACAGTGTCAGGGTGTGGTCACCGCTGCCTCTGAGTTATGGGCAGCAGACTCCATCTCTGCAATCTTTCTCTTTTCTTTTTTTTTTTCCTTTTTCTTTTTTTAGAGACAGGGTCTTGCTATGTAGCCCAGCCTGGCCTTGATCCTCCTGCCTCAGCCTCCTAAGTGCTGGGATTTCAGGCATGTGCCACCACAACTTGTTGCTCTCCTGACCTGTCATCACCCAGGGAGACAGAACCGTCAGTTTATAGCAGGACCCTGTGATGAGATCAACAGGGAAGAGTTGGGATGGAGGGGCAACTTCCATTGTGTTGCAAGGGTAGGGGGTAAGGAAAGGGCTCTTAGGAATTAATGCCAGGCAAAGATTTGAAGGAAATAAAGGAGGAAGCTATTCAAGCATCTGCAGAGGGCTACGGGCAGAGGGCACGGCAGGTGCAAAGGCCCTGAGGCAGGAATAGGACTGGCATATGAAGGAGCAGACAGGAGGCTAGTGTGGCTGTAACAGTGTGGACAAGGCAGGAGCTGGGATCAGCATGGGACACGTGGGCAGAGGGTACAGGTGTGAGGAGGATTTGGCTCCTGCTCTGACACACACAGGAGCACCTCGAAGGTAGGTGCTGAGCAGATGGGAGTAGTGAGGCACAGTCAGATTTCAGGGAGAATCGACCTGTGGCAGCGAGGGGTGGAGGTGAGGGCTAAAGGCGAGGGAGGCATCAGGGTCAGATCGGGACCAGCACCCCCAGACCTTCTGCCTCACAGGTGCCCAGGTGCCCAATGCCAGGCCAGCGCCACTCCTCACCGGCCAGCCTTTCCCAAGGTGCTCTGTGGACTTTTTGTTTGTTGTTTTTCTACCCTAGAGATTATACCCAGAGCCTTTACCCTGAGCTACAACCCCAGCCTTTTTTAATTTAATTTTTTTTTCCTTTTATTTTCTATTCTGAGATAAGGTCTCACTGAGTTGCCCAGGCTGGACTCAAACTTTTGATGCTCCCGCCTCAGCCTCCCAAGTGCTGGGATTCCAAGCCTGCGCCACCGCACCCGCTCCGGAGGGCTTCCGGGGGAGGCGTCCCCAGGCCCTTGGCTCCTCTCACTCCGTCCTCACCCTCAGCCCAGCCGGCACGGTGGTCAGGCCCCAGAGGCGCGGAGGGACAGGGGCTGCGCTGTCACCAGGTGATGGTGACCCAAGGACAGCCGGAGCCTCTGAGGCAGGCTGCGTGGCTCCGCCCTGGCCGCCACGTCCCCCACCCGCAACGCGTGGGCCGTGGGATCCTGGGGGAGCCTGGCGGTGACTCAGCGGAATCGTCTGAGACAGGAGCTGGCTGGGTGTCCAGGCCAGAAGCCACCTCTTGACGGCTCCATGGAGCTCGGGCCGACAGCTTGCTGTGTTGTTGGGGTTGTCGTGGTGAATCAGCCTCTCCCTTGCGTTTCCGTCCTGTCGTGCGTTCCAGTCTGTCCCCGAGTCCCCCTCCTTCAGTTCTATTGTGTCTCTGTATTCACTCATCGAATGTTTACTAAGTATCTACTCTGTGACAGGCAGTGCTCTCCATGCTGCTGTCACAGCTTTGGATAAAACGCCAAAAGGTGACAAGAGGCCAGGACAGCAGCTGCAGAAAGCTGGCAGCACAGAGCTGAATGGGGAGGGGGCAGATTCTTTTCACAGGGCGGAGAAGGCACAGGAAGGACCTCACTCAGCAGGTGACATTCAAGCAGAAGCCTGAAGGGGTGCCGGGAGCAGACTGCAGGTGCCTGGGTCTCAGGAAGGGCCATCCTGGCAGAGGCACAGCAAGTGCAAAGGCCCAGAGGCTGGAATGGCCAGTAAGTTCAGAGAATGGCCAGGGTGCGGCTGGAGCAGATAACCAAGGTGGGAGTGGGGCTTGTGGGGTGCGAAGACACATCGCCTGTGCGTTTTGTTTTCGGTAGTTTAAGGATTTCCAAGAATGAGTTTGCCTTTCCAGTAGCCAGCTTGCCGTTCAGATGTGC